AATTAGCTCAGAAACAGTACTATATAACATTTTAGACACATTCTAGACAGTTTATCAGCTAAAAAATGTTAATTTTGGGGTAAGTTACTCTTTAATGAAATGACATTTGAGAGTTTAGGTTGAATACAGACTGAAAAATAGAAGTAGCACGTACAGTAGAGAAATAGTGTTTAAGACAAACATAGGCAGCTATCAAACCTCTTGATGACAGTATCTGTCAGGGTTGAAATAAAGGATCTTGGCGAGACGAGTTTTGCTATTTTCAGTTCCGTCTGTAATTTGTTCCAGGTTGAGGGGGCGGCAAAGCTGAACGCTCTTTTCCCTAGTTCAGTTCTGACATGAGGAACTGACAACGGTACTAGACTGTTGGAGCGCAGGGAATAATGACTGTRTGTGGTTTGTTTTAAGGTGAAAAGGCATGACGGGACTAAGTTCAGGAGGGTCTTATAGATTAGGGATGTCCAATGAGTGCATCTGCGAGCAGTGAGGGATGACCAGCCAGATGTGACATACAGTTCACAGTGATGAGTGAGGTAACTGGAGTCTGTGATGAACCGTAGAGCTCTATGGTAGGTGGAGTCTAAGGATTGCAAGTATTTTGATGCAGCACTCATGTACAGCACATCACCGTAGTCCAATTCTTGCTGCTAGGCATCAGTGCTAACCACTGAGCTGTTGTGCTGCTCACTTTATGTCATCGTTTGTACATGAACACAAAGCAGGACGTAAGGTAAACATCTGGTAATATTTAGGCCCTGTTTACATGATGCAGTTTAAGAGTGAAACCATAGCCTTTTGGGTGCATTTTGGCCATTTGTCAAAATGACAACAGCAGCCATTTTCTCTGAAACCAAACCTTTTTGAATCCAAGTCTCAGAGTGGAAGTTTTAGAAAACACCTGGCATCGATGTGAAATTGCATTTGTGAACTACATACGGTTGCAGTCTATAGTTTTTCCGCACAAGAACATGTACAACCATAATAACGATGAATAGCGTAGTGATATTAGTGGTTCTGACTCTTTTTCACTGTGTGGGAACACACAGTCTCATCCTCATTTCAAACAAACATTTACAGTGGTTTGCAAAAGTATTCATACCCCTTGAACTTTTCCATATTTTGTCACATTGCAACCACAAACATAAATATATTTCACTGGAATTTAATGTGAAAGACCAACACAAAGTGGTATACAATTGTGAAGTGGAAGCAAAATTTTACATGAATCAAAACATTTTTTACAAATAAAAAACTGAAAAGTGCGATGTGCAAAATTATTCAGCCCCCCTGAGTCAATACTTTGTGGAGCCACCTTTTGCTGCAATTACAGCTGCAAGTCTTTTAGGGTATGTCTCCACCAGCTTTGCACATCTAGTGACTGCAATTCTTGCCCATTCCTCCTTGCAAAACAGCTCAAGCTCAGTCAGATTGGATGGAGAGCGTTTGTGAACAGCAGTTTTGAGATCTTGCCACAAATTCTCAATTGGGTTTAGGTCTGGACTTTGACTGGGCCATTCTAACACATGAATATTCTTTTTTTTAAACTACTCCATTGTAGCTTTGGCTTTATGTTTAGGGTCGTTGTCCTGCTGGAAGGTGAACCTCCGCCCCAGTCTCAAATCTTTTGCTGACTCCAACAGGTTTTCTTCCAAGATTGCCCTGTATTTGGCTCCATCCATCTTCCCATCAACTTTGACCAACTTCCCGGTCCCTGCTGAAGAGAAGCACCCCCAGAGCATGATGCTGCCACCACCATATTTGACAGTGGGGATGGTGTTTTCAGAGTGATGTGCAGTGTTCTTTCTCCACCACACATAGCGTTTTGCATTGTGGCCAAAAAGTTCAATTTTGGTCTCGTCTGACCAAAGCACCTTCTTCCACATGTTTGCTGTGTCCTCAACATGGCTTCTGGCAAACTGCAAACGGGACTTCTTATGGTTTTCTTTTAACAATGGCTTTCTCCTTGCCACTCTTCCATAAAGACCACATTTGTGTAGTGCACGACTAATTGTTGTCCTGTGGACAGTTTCCCCCACCTGAGCTGTGGCTCTCTGCATTTCATCCAGAGTCACCATGGGCCTCTTGGCTGCCTCTCTGATCAGTGATCTCCTTGTTCGGCCTGTAAGTTTAGGTGGACGGCCTTGTCTTGGCAGGTTTACTGTGGTGCCATACTCTTTCCATTTCCGGATGATGGRTTGAACAGTGCTCCGTGAGATGTTCAAAGCTTGGGAAATCTTTTTATAACCTAAGCCTGCTTTAAACTTCTCCAAAACCATATTCCTAACCTGTCTGGTGTGTTCTTTGGACTTCATGATGCTGTTTGCTCCCCAATATTCTCTTAACCAACATCTGAGGCCGTCACGGAGCAGCTGTATTTGTACTGAGATTAGATTACACACAGGTGGACCCTTTTGAGTCATTAGCAGTCATCAGGCAACTTCTGAATGCAATTGGTTGCACTCAGGGAAAAGGGGGCTGAATACTTTTGCACATCGCACTTTTCAGTTTTTTATTTGTAAAAAATGTTTTGATTCATGTAAAATTTTGCTTCCACTTCACAATTGTATACCACTTTGTGTTGGTCTTTCACATTAAATTCCAGTGAAATATATTTATGTTTGTGGTTGTAATGTGACAAAATATGGAAAAGTTCAAGGGGTATGAATACTTTTGCAAACCACTGTATGTGTTCGTCATTTTGGTTGAGTGTGTTTTCAGGCCTGGCAACACCTTGGAATCCTCCCAGCGACCCAACTCCAGAAAAAAATGGAGGACAATAGATGGATGGTAAAGAAGTTAACTTTATTTCTCCAAACTGAGGTTGTTCAAAAATCTATCTACAACAAGTAAGATGCTAACTGTTCATGCCCCTTTGCAGAGAACCTTCAGTATCTCCACTCTCGATTTAAGAGCTGCGCATTCAACTGTTGCGTGTGGCTCTTTTTGAAGTTGGCGAAACTGAAATCCTGTGCATCAACCTAAAGTTGCCCCTGAACATGGCGAGTTCGTTTTTTTTTTTTTTTTCACTTTGTCTGTCTGTCTGACTGTTGTTTGTCTGGGTTACAGTCGTTATGACACCAAATGTGAGAAACGTCTCTCGTGTCAGTTTGAATTGGCCTCTGCCAGCATTCACGGCGGAACTGCCGAGTCATAGTAAAACTTTACCAACTAGAGTGTCGGCACATAGTACGGCGCAGACAGACAAAAAACGGGGACTATCCAGTCAGATCGAAAACCTTGTGGACTGACGCAGCCACATTCAAGCATGTTCTCACCCACAGCGGGTACGTTATGCCAGTGAAAGCAGACTTTCTCAAATACAAACTGTTGAGCTCATCACGGTGCGTTCATTTACAAGTTGCACCTCAGTCGGTTTTCTTCCTTCCTTTTTGTGTTTTGCTGTTGAGGACAATGCAAAGGTGTAAGACCGCAAGCTCCTTTTTTATTAATGACTGTTTTACACATGAAAGTCAAAAATACAGGTATGTTCAAATACAGGAAGCACAAATGCAAAAAAAAAAATTAAAAATACTAAAAACACACATTTATAAAACAGTATTTACATCTTTATACAGTTTGTACAGTGATACCAGGGGAACAGATATGGCTGTGACTGTGATGTTAATGCAAATAAAGATCAGACAGATCTGTGTTTGCAGAGTTGTAAATGGTATTGTAGCATTTGAGGAAAGAATTGTAAAGCATGATCACCAGACTCCACTGGTTGTATTTATGGCGAATAATCATTTATATGGAGAGAGCAGGGGTTGTGTCAGTGTCTGACATGACTGAGGGACGTTTGGAAACTGACTGGACTTTGCTGAACCCTCCTTTGCTCAGACCACCAGCGCACATCTTAACCATCTTCAGGAGGTCCTGCCTGAACCGAACCCCGATAAAAACGTACAGGAAGGGGTTGAGGCAGGCGTGGGTGAAAGCCAAGCTCTTTGCAACTTGTCCGGCGATGTCGAAGCGCATCACAGTCTCGCAGTCGGTGATGGTGGTGTTAGCGGCCTGCGTGGCCTCCACGATCAGCAGGGCGTTGTGGGGCAGCTGGGAGAGGACGAACACAAACACCACGACGAAGATGACCCTCAGGGCCTTGTGCTTTTCAAAGTTTTTGGCCTGCAGAAGGGTGCGGATGATGACTGAGTAACAGAAGAACATGATCAACATAGGGAGGCAGAAGCCCATGGTGATCTGCAGGGACAGCACCAGGATCTTTGTCCGGTTGAATGCRTTGTCCCAGTAGACCAGAGTGCAGAAGGATTGCTGCGAGTTCTCCTCCACCTTGACCTGCGCGAAGATGAACTCRGGGAGGGCCAGTAACGTGGAGACAGACCAGACGCCGAGGCAAGCGAGCTTACTGTAGAACAGCGTCTTTTTCTTTAAGTTCTGCGCCTTCGTGACTTGCACAATAGCGATGTAACGGTCCACGCTGATGCAGGTGAGAAGGAGCATGCTGCTGAAGAAGTTGATCTTGTAGACGGCGGACACAATTTTGCAGAGACTGAGCCCGAAGCCCCAGCCCTTGGTGGCATCTGCAGCCCAGAAGGGCAGCGTGCACAGGAAGAGGAGGTCGGCCACAGCCAGGTTCAGCAGGTACACGTCGGTCATCGTTTTGAAGCGGTTGCGCACTGCGGTGTAGATCCAAACCACCAGCAGGTTTCCCACAGAGCCGAGGGTGAAGATGATCCAGAAGAGGGGTTGCTCGTACTCACCACGAAACTGCCTGACCCAGCTTTTGTCACACATGCCCGAGTCATCAGTCATCTCGTAGTCACCTGGATCCTGCAATCAAAGAAATCATCATTGGGTTATTAAAACAGTACAACAATTACGTGCACAAGCCTTTCCCACATAACTTTTTTTCTTTTTTTTTTTTTGTTTGTTCTTTCCTCCAGAACCGACTCATCGACTGCAGAACATTTTACAGCCGAACCCACTTCTGGTGGGAATGAATTCAAATGACACCAAACGCTGTCTGTGACGTACGAGCTAACCAGAGTTCAGGTGCAGCTGTTGTGTCTGTGCAGAAGAAACCACACAACTGCACAGTTTCCTGCTGCTATCCAAGCCCAGTGGGGGAGTGAATGATCCTGAGGGGCTCCAGAAAGGGGGCCCACTGCGCAACTTCAGTACCCCGCCAGCAGTAACGTTTTAAGATGTGGGGCAGAGATAAGCAGCGGGGCTCGGGTTTTTGAAAACAATGGAAAGTGTTTGTGACGCCGATGCGGCTTGTTACTGACTGCAGCATCTGTGTACCCTGCAAATGTCTGATGTCAAACGCATGTTTGAAAAAAAAAAGTGTATTTTCTGACTGAGTCTGAAGCGAAGAAAACAAAATTTATACACAAAAAGTTTATTCCCCTTATGTTAGCTCATCCCACCCTCTCTCTCTCTCTCTCTCTCTCTCTCTCTCTCTCTCTCTCTCTCTCTTTCTTGTTTCACATTGTTTTCTCCCTCATTATTAATGTCATCATAAACAACTTATTGTAATACTTACAGTTGATGTATAATACATGTCCTCATCAAACATATAGGTAGTTGTCTCATTCATTTTGGTCTAAAAAAACAAAAAAAAAACATCAAAATAAGACAACAAAGAAATGATAAACATAATCGAAAACTGAACATTGAGCTTCGCTTGCAGCTATTTTGAAAGAAATGCAAAATATACTTTACCTTTTTTTTGCAGGATCGTGTGAACAGGGATCTTCACAGTGCGTGTGTGACTCCTACGTCTGAGTGGAACAGCTGTCAACTGTACTYATCTTCACTGGCTTATATGGTTTCCCTTTAACCACGAAAGATCACGTGCTAACTTCATCACTTTGCCTTTGTCTCAGCCTGCTGAGAGCAACAGCCAGTGGACATTGGACATTGCTGACGTTGTTTCTCAAGTTTTAAGTGACAGCAAAGCGTGTACCAACTGGACCTCTTTTATCATTCTGAAAACCGTCTGACAAGGTCTGAGTATTAAGTGACTTTTAGACGTCACCTAATGATTCATGAGRGTGAAAGTAGAGCAGGTTCTATCAAGTCTTTGCTCGGGCTCTTTGCAGAGGCAGACCACTAACAGAYTGATTTGTGAAACTGCAAACATGTGAGTAAAGGTTTAAAATAGAACTGAAAGTGTTGTAAGCCCAATTTGGGTCTGATTTGGCACAAATATACAACCAACCCCTGGCAAAAAATATGGAATCACCAGTCTTGGATGATCACTCATTCAGACATTTCATGATGTGATTCCATACTTTTTGCCAGTGGTTTTACAGTCTAAAAGTTTTTTTTTTTTTTAGTTTTTAGTTTTGCTCAGAATTGGTGAGACACCAAAGAGTCCCGGAATGAGGTTTTGGTTAAAGAAAACTATAAAGCATTTTTCTTAAAAATAATAAACATTGTCCAAGGTTTAAATTTGTTAAATTTCACCTGCTGTTTAAAGCAGTGGTTCCCAAACTTTTTATCTTCTGACCCAAAAAATATTCATGGCAAAAACTTGTGACCCCAAATATTACTAGTCTGACTTTGTTAATAATCCTAAAAACAAAGTCTACACAAATATAAATACTTGTTTATACTTATTTTGTGTTTTTTGTAATAATTATAGGGAAAATATTACATCACCAATTATTTTTATTACCCTTTAAATTGATTTCTGAAGTGCAGTGGTTCCCAAACTTTTCAGCATTTGACCCACAAAATAACAGTAGACCTGTGCCCACAACTATTTTTGGATGATAAACATTTGTATCAGGTCAGCTAAACATGGGCATTGTAACAATATTTATTATTCTACATTTATACATTTTAGGCAACTAAGGCAAAAATGTAATTAATTCAGAAAATCTTTTCAGGACCCCACCTTGATGTTTCAGGACCCCACCTTGATGTTTCAGGACCCCACTTTGGGTCCCGACCCCAACTTTGGGAACCACTGGTTTAAAGGATCTATCTGATTTATTTCAGCCCGTTGTCACCAGCAGCTATTTTCCTGTGGCCAAGGGGGGAAAAACAGTAAATCATGTGGCAAACCCCGTAAACAGAAGTCTGTGTAAGTAAAGGGAAGTGGATGGTTACTTGGTAATATGAAGAAGAAAGGGAAATAATTACCACAAATACATCATTTTGCTGACGAAAACTAAATGAAAAGAAGGCAGAAAAAAAGTCCCTGTTTTGCCAATGTTGTGATTAAAAATACATCCTGATCAACAATAAAGCCATACAGAAACAGATGATTATTTACATAATGATGTTATTTGATTATTATTTTTTGAGAAACTCATGTGCAGGGCTGTTTGGGCTGTTGGACCTCTGTAAGGTTGAGTGGGTTTGTATTCTCACAGTTTCACTTCCTTGCCTCAGAAGTTTCTCAGCCTCRTTGTCGTGAGCACTCTCTAAAAGAAGATGAGTGCGTGGTGAATTACCTCTTCAGATTTCTACCAATTTCTGGTTGCGTTTCTCGGTTTTCATCACAGGGAAACGGCTGTGTCATGATCAGATCGGTGTTTACCTTCTGGGAAAAGACGTGATCAATGCAGAGTTTCACTCACAACCTGCTATCTACCAACTGCTAAAGTGCAGCGGTATGAGTGCATTGTTCTAATCTGTGGTAATACAGTAATTACAGACACATAAAAAGACAGAACAACATACTGGAGTTGGTATGAGTTTCATAATAAAATATAAGTCTATATAAAACAATTCAGTACCACGTCTAGCAGTCTTAACATATTGAAAAGTTCATTTGTAAACAGTTTGTAGTAAAGTATGACCATAATTTTATTTTCATGACTTAGCATCAGATAAACGATGTTTATCACTTTCTGAAAGTTGGATTCAAATTTACAGAGCGGTTYATGATATATTTTGCCAACACACACACAGACATATGGTCTAGCACAGCTATCTTTATGGGGACTTTGCATTGATTTCCATTCCCTTCTGTAGCCTAACCCTGACCCTTTACCCTAAACCTTATCCCTAACCCACCAATTGCATTTCCCCCTATGCGGACAGGACTTAGGTCCCCATAAGTACCAGTTGAGAAAGATCTGCATGAACAAAGTGATGCATGGGTCTCATTTCAAGATGAGACCAGTTTATGAAAAACAGCACAAAAAATAGCATTTTTTAAAAGAAAATAAAAAACCTAATTATTAACTTTTTGTTGTATTATAGGTGACTTAGATATCAAGGGTCTGAGAAATGCTAAACTACACATTTCACAATCTAGATTACAAAACGACGTGATAAGGAGAACGAGGCCTGTGTGGAAACAAAAGTTATCACAACAATCTCAGTAAAAACTCAGCTCACTGTGCAGTTTTTAAATACTGAGAGTATAGGGTTTATTCATGATCACACTATCAGCACATTAAAGATTCAGACCTAAATTTCTACAATGTTTCCAATGGTTTTTAGTGACATTTATATTCGTGGTACCTTCAAGACGAGCTATGGTTAGCCTGATTATATCTTGAAGCAGTAGTTCAGATCATTTGAAGAAATATTATGAACAATTATTATTTTACCTGCTGTAGAAAGCTCATTGAACAACCTCAATTTGGAGAAACAGAGTATTATTCTGACCAGACTGATGAACTAATGGTCAATCTGAGTTGGGTCAACTCTGAAGTGAGTTGCGACTGCTTTAAAACATCTCCCGTCTCAAAAAAAAATTAAAAGCAGTTCATGAAACTGCTGTTTTAAAATTTTTTAGGTTTTCCTCAAATAAACATTGCGTTTTAGTTTACCGGTACATGTGCAAACAAAAGCAGGTAGAGACAGAAGCTGTAGCACGTCTGGTGCAGCCTGCAGTACTTTCAGCAGGAATATCACAACATTTCTAATGTATAACAAGGTATTTTGGAAGTGATGAAGAGGTTTCTAATAGCTTTTGCACAAAATGCTGATGATTGGAGTTGTTTTAAAGATAAGTCTGGTTGGTTTTGCAGTGATTTTCTGTCATAAAATTATCTGTTGTTGGTATCTTATCAGTTGTGACAGAGTAAAAAGGTCTTCAGCAACGCTAGGATAAAAGCTAGCCCAACAAGGGTCTGTTGTTTTGGACTTATGAAACAGCTTTTTCTCAAAAACAATGGGGTGAAAGAATGCTGCATTAGCTAATATTAAACCTYCAATGCCCATGTTAGAAGGTCCAAATGTGTGTCTGCTGAACATAGACTGTTATATCACAGTGATGCTGAGGCTGCTGAATTGTTGGTCTGACTTCATGCACTGATCAGGCAGATGGATACATTCAGTTGCCTCAGCACCGTTAACACACGCATGGTTTATAATCAGCACAAATGTAAAAGTGTTGATGCAGCTTCTTTCATACCAGATATATCAGCAATAGCTGTTTTATAGGCTGAGAAAACAGCACAAAATTGGCCCTTGTTTAGCTAGTCATTAGCCTAGCCCAAGGATGGCAATCCTGGTCCTCATGGGCCGCAGCCCTGCATGTTATGCATTTCTCCCTGCTCCAACACACTTGATTCAGTCTCTTCCAAGTTCTGCAGCAGCCTGATAATCACCCATTCATTCAAATAAGGTGTGTTGGAGCAGAGMAAAAAGTAAAACATGCAGGGCTGCAGGCCTTGAGGACCAGGATTGCCCACCCCTGGCCTAGCCTAAACTAAAGGTCTCTGCATGGTCCATCTGAACTGAGAAGGAGGTCTCTGCAGTCACTAAGAAAATTGTGATTGGTCAGATTGCCTTGTGGGGGAAGGTAAAAGATCTGATGATAAATGGTAAATAGTAAAACCATTGTGAACATGGAAATATAATTTATTGACTTTATTTTTAGTTTAAAACAGAACAATGCCTCAAACAAAATAGTGTACATGTAAATATGTGACCCATCACATCGAAACGAGGATTAAGTCCAAAGGTTGTATATAGAGAAATAGGTAAATATAGTGTTTTGACTAAAATGTTAACAAAAAATGCATTTTGTCAAAATATAATGAATAAATGTCTTAATAATATATCATTTGAATGAACTGTCTGAAATTTAATCATAAAACAAAATTTTGAAGCACTTTTTTGAGCNCCTTTCCACATGGTGCATTCAGTGACATCCAGTAAATACCAGTACTCTCAGAAATGAACAATCTAACTAAAACATACACCCAAAATAAAGTGTGGGGTGTCKTTGTACAGTCAAATACACAAAAACAGTAACACAACTAATAATCTCATTTGAACAATGTCTGTATTTCTCACATTTAGACCAAATATTCATGTGTTATTGTAACCAACAAGACAAATTAAGTCATACATATGGATTTAATTATGATATCAGAATGAACCAGGTGTCAAAATGTAGTTTTTAAAGCCAAGAATCTGAAAATGTAATTAGGTCATTTTGACCAAATTTGACTTAATCCTTATTTTGAAATGATTGGTCACATATAGTTTATAGACTTCAAACTTGTTGCGGCCAGCACCTTTTTGTCTCGAGTTATGACCAATATATTCATATTCCATAAAAGTGATTTTTTTTCCCCAGGCAGGTTAGGGCTGTTCTGACCGAGCCGAATTGTTACACGTCCATCCACGTGTAAGGCATTCAAATGTGGTGTGACTAGCACTTTTCTGTCTCGAGTTATGACTAAAATTAATATTCATATTTAAAATTTGCGATCTGAATTGTTATAAAACCACCCCAGCTCTCTAGCAATAATCCATTCAAACTGTTATGGCCTTGTCAAAAATAGTCAATCTGACCAATCATGGTTTACCTGAACCGTGTGCACAACTAACCTCCCACCACCATTGTGACTGCACGTTTACTAATTGGCTGCCTATCGACCATGCAGGGCCCTTAAGACTTCTGCCCCTTTCTCCATACTCTCTTCTCTATGATTAATCACAGCCAATCTAGTATTACCTGCTGATAAATATCTGACAGAATGGCCAGACTATCTCTTTAAGACAGCAGCAATCCACTTTGGTCTTGGCCTCAATCATACTAGTCATTTGTTTGCCAGTCTGGTCAGAATTCAACACATTCAGGTTGTTCAARGAGCCATCTACAGCAGGTAAGATATTGTTGGTTCATACTTTCCACAGGACCCCACTTCAAATTATCTAAGAAACAACACTTCAACTTTCCATTTTGCAGAACATGWTGCATGATATCTGAACTGCAGAGCAGGGTATTCTGCCTGGTACTTTTTATTGTTCCCCTGAATTAGTTTTCATTGTTTAGAAAAGAAATCACCTTGGACACCACCTACTTTTTGTGAAACTCTGCTGAAACTCGCATCTTCTAACATCTGTTTTTACGTTCTGAAGACAAAGCAAACAACAGAAGCAGAATTCTGTCTTGTTAGTGAAACTGAGAAAACCCCTTTGATGCCAACGCAGTGAGCAGAAAGCTGCTCTGGATTGAGTACACTCACATGTATCAACTGTTGCCCCACATTATGGGAAAGTACTGTTACGGTCACAGCTTTCAGAAGAGCGAGAGATTTGTGTTTGGTACTGAGAGAAGGTTGTCACCACTTCCTGTATCTGCTGGCTGTGATTTATTTTATACACTGTGAGACAAACTGCTAAATTGCTGCATCCTATCTGAAATTCTCACCAGTTTACCCCCACCCCACCAACCCTTCAGCTGCACGTGTGTGTTCATTTTGATGCACAAAAACAAAACATTTTATCTGTCGTTATCTTTATTTCAGTACAGCGGTGGACACATACAGTAAGTGTCTGTTTTAGTTGATTTACTGTATCTAGTTCTTCAGCACCCTTTTTGTTCTCAAGTAAATCATGCATGCAACTCCTCCTCGATGCAAAACTATCACACGTTTAAGTCAGGACATTGTGGGTTTTAAAGTTTCACTGAAAACAACATGGGGGTTGACGGTTGACTGACTATTGACCACTTTGTGTCTTATCCTGTCTCAGTCTCACTACACGCGTCATCTCTGTGAGGATGTTTTCTCACAAAGTAGGTGCAGTGTTAAATTGCACAGTGCAGAGGGTTTTTGGGCTTGTTAAACTCTGTTAACTGTTCAAAGAGCGTCCTACCTCATCTAGTTTCCTGACTATTAAGAAGTACACAAACAGAGGAAGTTGTATCATTTGTTTTAGTCATCTGATCTCTGAATCAGCACACGATTACGCAGAAAGAATAAACAACGTGCTTAAAACCGGAAAACAAGAGTTTGACATTTGCACTAAATTATTTTTTGCAAGCGCCAAAGCACCAATTAAAGGCCTAGCCTTCCTTGAATAAGTGCTTATCACCTGACACTTTTCATGTCAGAATATAATGCTAAGATCATCTTATCTCGAGAAAGGCCAAGAAGTGAGTTCTAGTCATTTAGGTCAAAACTTGAACAACAAACTGCAACACTTCACATGATCAGTTAGCTCTTGCAGTATGTGATGTGTATCACTGCTATTACTGCACCTGATTTTAGCTGAACATATGTAAAAGTGACTGAAATAAAGCATTTTTTGTGTTTCCTAATGTCAGTTGGCTCAGGCAGCCATCTTAATTTGTGTTGACTCCAAATGTTAATCAGTTCTTGAGGAACTTTTGGTAATTACATTCTGAGAGTTTCATTCAAATCTGTCAAGCTGTACCTGCCTGTTTGCTAATAGACAAGTACAGTTTACTTTATTGGTTAAAATTTTAACAACAGATCGTAGTTTGCTGTCATCAATGTGTGAATGTCTGTAAGTGTAAAGTGCTTTGGGGTCTGGAGGGACTTGATAGAAGTTCAGTCCATTTGCCATTTATCTTATGTATTCAGTCAGTGCTCTAAGTATGTGTYGGGGACGATTCTCAGCTACTGTTGCACCAAATTTTAGCTCGTTTGTAAAATTGGCTGAGTTGTAGTCATTTTTAAGTTTGCTCCATCCATCCATTTTCTTCTTATCCGGAATCGGGTCGCGGGGGCAGCAGCCTAAGCAGAGAGACCCAGACTTCCCTCTCCCCAGCCACCTGGGCCAGCTCCTCTGGGGGAATCCCAAGGTGTTCCCAGGCCAGCTGAGAAACATAGTCCCTCCAGCGTGTCCTGGGTCTTCCTCTGGGTCTCCTCCCAGTGGGACGTGCCCGGACCACCTCAGCAGGGAGGTGTCCAGGAGGCATCCTAACCAGATGCCCGATCCACCTCAACTGGCTCCTCTCGACGTGGAGGAGCAGCGGCTCTACTCTGAGTCCCTCCTGGATGACTGAGCTTCTCACCCTATCCCTAAGGGAGAGCTCAGACACCCTGCGGAGGAAACCCATTTTGGCTGCTTGTATCTGCGATCTCATTCTTTTAGTCACTACTCAAAGCTCGTGACCATAGATGAGGGTAGAAACGTAGACCGACTGGTAGACAGAGAGCTTCACCTTCTGGCTCAGCTCTCGCTTCACCACGACAGACTGGTACATCACCCGCATCACTGCAGACACAGCACCAATCCACCTGTCTATCTCCTGCTCCATTCTTCCCTCATTTATGAACAAGACCCCGAGATACTTCAGCTCCTCCACTTGGGGCAGAACCTCCTCCCTTACCCGGAGAAGGCACTCTACCGGTTTCCGGCTCAAGACCATGGTCTCAGATCCTCATCCCGGCCGCTTCACACTCGGCTGTGAACCGCTCCAGTGAGAACTGGAGATCAGGATCTGATGAAGCCAGTAGGATCACATCATTGCAAAAAGCAGAGATGTGATCCTAAGGTCACCAAAAAGGATCCCCTCAACACCTTGGCTGCGCAAATTCTGTCCATAAAAGTTATGAACAGAATTAGTGACAAAAGGCAACCTTGACAGAGTCCAATTCACTGGAAACGAGCCCGACTYACTACCTGCAATGCGGACCAAACTCTAACATAAATTTTCTTACATGGCTTATTAGCTTTGGCTCCATCTTGACTTGTTAAATCCAAAAGGAAATCAGATGTAGATACCAACCTCATGATTAATTTCTGAATGTTTCATTATCACGTCATGTGATTCATGAGCTATTTACTAAAAAAACAAAAACAAAACAAAAAAATAATCTCACAGAGGCAAAAACATTGTCGCCTTTTCACCTTTGGCAACAGACAATAAAAATCTATTCAGCCTTTACAAAATCTATGTACAGTGGTTTCATGTTATAATCTGCAAGTCTAACAAATTTTAACAGTTTAAATAGTTTTGATGCATTCAATTAATTCATACTTTGTGTTTTATAGCAGTGTAGCAACCCCTAGTTGAATCCAATCAAGTATTTAAAATCCTACCATCACTATAGTTCAATCAGTTCTACTGTTTTAACATTATGCATTAGTCTAGTCCAAATGTCTAAAATATAAAAATAAGACTTTATGGTATCTAGACACATTAATTAGATGAAAATGTCCATCATTCATAACAAAAACATGAAAAAAAACCAAGTCACAACTTTTATTTGCCCATATTTTGCACAATCCAGACAAACACACATCTAATGTAACAGTAGATGTGTCACACTCTACAAGAGCCATTTCTTCATGAATTGAAAGTCATGTAAATACAGTGATACAAAAAATACACAAAGATTCCACACAAAAAATATTCTATGCCCTTCAAATCTAGACGCAGGAGCAAAAAGAAGAAAAATAAATTTGCTTTAAGCTCCGACTTCCACGCAGTATTATATTATATTGTATTATTGGAAATACTTAGGAGTGAAATGCAATAAAAACATTTAAATGGCAAAACAACCCGAAAACCTCAAGCATCGAGAAGCATCACTTTTCACTAAAATGATCACTAATGAACAAAAAAATTTGCTTGGAACTTGGTTTCGCTTGTTAAAACTGGATTTTAAGGTGCTGCTAAAATTAAGACGAGAAAATATCAGTAATTATTAACCAGACTATTCAGTATTTCCTATTTGATAAATATAAGAGCAAAGCTTGAGACAAAGAGTTTATTTCTGTCCATTTCAGCAAACGGACAAGGCCCCTTCAAGCAGGAAATTGCATAGAGCACTGAGAGGAGAGATAGCTACTAAAGGTGAGCTTAAGCTTCCGACAGGAGAAAAAATAAAGTGTATTCAGTTTTRTGCAGCAAACCGACTGGTTTCTGCTTTTACCTATAGCCAATAAGTACAGAAACTGTTAGATAAAGTAAAAAGAATTCTTTCTAGAAAGATTTTTTTTACTGTCTTTCTTGTCTTAAAACACTGGAACTGATGGTTTCTTGTCGACACCACAGTCGTACATTTTGGTCCTGTTTTCCTGGTTGATGTGTGTGGAGCTCATTCGTCGGGCTCATATCTGAAAAAACAAATAAAACAATGTTTTCTCTGATTATATATTCGTCAAAGACCTCAGTAATTGAGATTTTTCAAACTGCATTCTCTTTCCGTAACAAAAGTTTGCTTTTTTTAATGACTTATAAATACTCACTTTTGCAATCGTTTCCTAATTTCTTTGATCTGCTCGTTCTTCTTGGTTAGAATCTCCTTCATGTTGCGGTACGCTGCCGTTTGTTGAAACTTTTTGTCCAGCTCCTGCACACAGAACATAATCTCTCCAAGCTGAAGGGAAACACTACAATAATACTGTACCTGTGGAGTACTGTAGAACTTTGACATTGATTTTTTTTGTTAGCTTCATGTTGGTTAAAAAAATCTAAAATTGTGTAATAAGCTTGGTTAGTTTGAACAGAGTCAGAAAAACCTCCAAACACACCATCGTAGAAAGGTCCATGTTGGAGAGCACACACTATGCTTGTTTAATGTTCTGGAGGTGTACAGACTTTAACTATCACAGAACATAATATTTTTCTGTCTGTGTTACTATGAGGCGTTAGATGATTGGTCAAATAAATCAACATTATTA